GAAGGGGTCGGGCCCAGGGCTGTGCCCGGGGCTGTGCCTGGCGCGGCTCCTTTGCCGGCCCCTGGGAGCCTGAGGTGCTCCCGCTGCGGCTGCCGAGCCACGGCCCTCGCTGGGGCTGAGTTGAGAGCTGGGGCAGCTCCAGGGAGTCCCTTGTGCCCTGACAGCTCTGCCTGGGGCTCCTTTGGTCCCCGTGTGTAGATCACCAAAGATGACAGAAGCTTCTCTGGCTGTTGATTTACAGGGATGCCTGGTGGAAGGGCTTCTCCAGCTACGGAGCTGATTCCTTTTCAGAGGCCAAACTCACATGGCAGGGGTGAGTAGCCTATCCCTGCTGACCGCACAGGCTGAGCTCTGGTTTTCTCTAATCTTTTCATGTCAAATTGAAACACTTCCCATTCAGGTCCTCCAAAAGGCAAGACGCAACCTGAAGGAGACCAAAATTTCCTTGACTCAAATGATGTCCTGAGAGAAATTTTGAAGGAACTGCTGAAAGGCCAAGGTGGGTCTGTCTCTGAGCCTGAGCTGTGAGACTCATCAGCCAGGGGCTTTAGTTCAGTCACATCTGATCCAGCTGTCCCTCTTGCTTCCCCCAGAGATGCACAAAGCGGCTCTGTGGAAGACATCATTCCCCAAAGGAAGCAGTGGCTCCGTGCCAGGCTCTGCTGATGGAAGGGAGGCGATGCCAGGCACGGGCACACGGGGTAATTGCTGTGGCGTGCTCAGCCGGTGTGGGCCATCGGGGTGTCTGTGGCAGCAGCTCTTCCCCAGTGCCCGCTCGTGCCCGTCACGGCAGCAGCCAAAGCTGAAAGCGCGACGGGTTGGCGGCATCTGGAGCACGTTCCGCAGCCCCTGGAAACGGGACTCTGGCCCCAAGGTCCCTCCTGCTTCAGCTGCTCCCGGAGCTGGCCCTGAGTCTCGAGGGGCCCAAGGCACCAGAGCAGCCCAGAGTGGGATCCCTCCCATGAGCCGAGGGCCAGAGCCATCCCTGGCTCCCACACTGGGCAGGGGCTCCCGTGTCTCCTGAGAGGGCCTGACTCTGTCCCCTTGGGCTGTGGGAACTGTCCTGGGATAGGGAGGGATGGTTTTAGCACTGCTGCTGCAGTCTTCCCCAGGACTTTAGCCAGGGATTACTGTGTGTGGGAGAGAGCCCCAAGGGGCCTTTGGCTGGTCCAGTCTCTCCTCCAGGGATCTTGCACAGGACCGGGAAAGAGTGTGGAGAGCAGCTCAGAGACAACCCAGAGCTGCCCAGGCCCCTCTGCAGCTCTGGCCATGTCCATTGACATCTGGCCCCCACAGTGCTCCCCGACCCCCCTGCAATGCCAGGGTTCTCTGAGGCACAAGGGGATTCCAGCGTACAATGGAAATGGTTCCCATCCTTGTTTGCTTCTAGATGAGGGTGCTGGGAATGCTTCTCCAGTAGATTGGCTGCGTAAAGTTTTGGAGCCCTTGCAGCCTCCTGCAAGTAAGTTCTCAATATGCGCTCAAAGAATACTCATTGACAGCATGGCAAGAGCCAGGTGACAGAATCTTCTCTGGCTGTTGTGCTACAGGGGTGTCCGGAGGGAGGACTTTTCCAGATCCTAATCGGATTGCTCAACACAAAGGTGGCTCCCATCATAGGGGTGAGTAGCCTGTCCCTGCTGAGCTCACAGGCTGAGCTCTGGTTTTTTCTAATCCGTTCATGTCAATTGGAACTACTTCCCATTCAGGTACTACAACAGCCAAGAAAAAAGTTAAAGATGGAAAGAAATCCCTGGCGCCATCAGAGACCATGAGAGAATTGCTGAAGGAAATGCTGCAGGGAGGGCATGGTGGGTGTGTTTCCCTCAGGTTGAGCCGTGAGACTCATCAGTGGGGGCTTTCGATGCTCTGTGGACACGCAGGGGCTGCACAGTGGGAAGGGATCCATCGCAGCCTCGCTGCCCCGCTGCAGCTTTCACGCCTTGCGGGGCTGTTTCCCTGCCTGGCCTGGCTGCACCTTCTCCCCGACCTCTGCAGGAAGGCCTTGAGCATCCCCTGACCCTGTGCCCAAAATGCCCCACGGGCCCTGCAGAGCAGGAGATCCCCTGCAATTGCCTGGTCTCCCGGCAGCTCCGGAGTGGCGGCTGTTTGGGGGAGGGAGTGCCCTGACCCAGCCCCAAAAGCCCGTCTTTTTTCCTGGACCTTTTCCATGTCATTTATAAGCATTGCCTCCTGAAAATCCCACCTCCCTTATGGAGAACAGCTCCATCTGATCCAGCTGTCCCTCTTGCTTCCCCCAGAGATGGACCAAGAGGCTCTGTGGAAGGCAGCATTCCCCAAAGGAAGCAGTGGCTCCGTGCCAGGCTCTGCTGATGGAAGGGAGGCGATGCCAGGCATGGGCACACGGGGTAATTGCTGTGGCGTGCTCAGCCGGTGTGGGCCATCGGGGTGGCTGTGGCAGCAGCTCTTCCCCAGTGCCCACTCGTGCCCACAATGACATGAATTTTGTGAGGATTTGCTCTGTGTGTGACAGAGCTCTGAGGGACCTTGGCTGATTCAGCTTCTTCTCTAGGGATGTTTCAGTGTGTGCAGAGTGTGGAGCGCGGCCAGGAGCCAGCCCAGAGCTGCCCAGGCCCCTCTGCAGCTCTGGCCATGTCCATTGACATCTGGCCCCCACAGTGCTCCCCGACCCCCCTGCAGTGCCACAGTTCTCTGAGGCA